CCCCCCCCCCCCCCCCCCCCCCCCCCCCCCCCCCCCCCCCCCCCCCCCCCCCCCCCCCCCCCCCCCCCCCCCCCCCGCCCAGCGGACTCCCATTCTTTGAAGAAGGTCTATTTTGAGTTGAACGTTCGGTGTTAAAGACTAAAGTGTCATTTCCTTTTTTATACTTTTTTTGCAGAAAACAGTGTGAATTAGTGATAAGAATGGTTTAGTTTAATTTCAAGAAAGCAGAACCGATCCCGTCTGTGGTAAAAGCTGATAATTTTTTTAAATGGATACTCATTCGTCCAGACATGAAATGTATATGTGTCCAATGATCAGATTTTTTCTTAATTATCCATCTGAGCACGACGCATTTCTTATTGTTTTGTACAGAACAGTTATAGTTAGACAAAAACCGATCTGTTAGTCTAATGACAGAAGATTAGATCTACTCTAGCTTGGTTGTTTAAAATTCTTTGTCTTACCGCTTGATTAAGTGCGACGCCGCTTGGAATCAAAAAATTGTCGTGAGTAACAAATTTCTCGAGTTCGATTTGAACAACACGATCGAAATCCGGTATTGTACGTGATAGAATTCTTGAAAATTCTTCACGTGTTGGCGATTCCACATCATCATATTGTTTGCGGTCATTAGTGGTTGCCAAACGGAAATAATAAATGAGTGCAATTGATAGTGCAATACAAATAACTGGATTTCTCTCATATAGATTGACTGAGTCGTTGCTGTCATTGTGTTCATCTTTAATTTCATCATCATACCGCAATGCCCAAAAAAAATCAATAAGTTGAAAAACTCGTTGAATTTCACGTTGAGAGACTGAATTTACCCCTATAGATAGAAACACAGAAGATAAAACACTTTTTGTAACAGAATTTGTAGCTAGTTGTTCTGGCTGATGAAAGAAAAGCTTATCACCGGAGACCTTCGATCTAAAGCATAATTCCTCCACTCAGGAGTGATGGACTAATGTGAGGCCTGGATTATGTCTATGTTCCCAGTGTATAGCTTTTCGCTAAATAATTACTGAATAATAATTGTTCACGAGTTCGCATACGTCGGTAAACGTCAGGTAAGGGAAGGCAAGATTTTTAACTCTCCAGCTCACTTTTCCCTCGGTATAAACTTTCACTCGTTATTCTTCCTATTTCACAGGAATTCAGAAGTGGAGTTACACAAAAGAAAATGTTTCGTCATGTTTCCTTTAGAATAATGAAAAAAAGACAAAAACTGATCTAGCTGATCTCTTTTTTGAAAAGTTCTTATCTTAAAGATAACATCCGGTAATGTAAGATACGTCCTACATCTGATATAATCAAACAGTGCGTCACGGAAGCTTCCTTAGAATCTCTTACAAGAGAATGTTTCCAGGTGCCAATTAGCATTTTGAACATTTGGGAACATAGGTAATTTGCTGTACTCTATAAACTGAATAGATCAAGATCTCGTGATTCGACCTATGCTATCAGTCGAATTCTTAAGAGAGGCTTCAGAAAACTTATGAGCCAGAACAGATATCGGATTCCAATTCAGCATCATCAATCACTCATAAATAACTGCGTTTTAACAAGAAAAGCGATCTCACAGCTGAAAACGTTCCCGTGCTAAAAAAGGAGCACCCCCCAAAAAAATTCAGCTACTGAAAAAATGCCAAATCTTATTTGCTCTATACACTGCATTTTTTGACTTTGTCACTTGAAAAAGTCGTCCATTTCACACAGAATGTAATTCTCTATTTCATCAACTAGTTTTCAAAAATAACTACGGTAAGAACTTTAAGCTCGGGTCAGAAAATTATCTCCGTTACTACACAAGTTCGGTGGCTCCAGCTATGATCGTTTAGGAGATATTGCTCGAAGATTGGTCGAAATGGGGCATCTATCATTCGGCAGATTTTTCCTCTCAGACAACAGTTGGAGAGCTTGGGCTGATTTTAAAATATAAAATGAAGTCAGAGTAACGCCTTAAAAAATTGAATTTTTGAGATTTTTCTACGTTTTATTTTCTCAAGGATTTCATGTGAAAAGTTCGAAAAAGCGGTGCATAGCATTCAACAATGTAAAAGAATGACGACTTAATTAAAAATCTGGCACTTTTAAGTTGTTCCCATATGACTTAGTTTGAATTTAAGATCAATCCGAACTCTCTGGCACTTAATTTGACGGAAAATCTCTCCGACAGTATTTATCACGTAGGAAAAAGTCGCTTTTGAGATACAGTGGCGCTAGTGTATGACATACATTTTAGGGCTGTTAATAAAACTGTCATAACT